ATATTGATTATTTTTCTAATCACATGGTGTTTATATAATCTTTATATGTTTATCACATATTATAGTACTTTTTGTTTTTATATTTATAGTCATATGTTATTGAGTATTCATATATGATTGATGTATAAATCATACATTGTCTTTAATAAATGCAAATTTATCATATGTGAATTTAAACACAAAAACTGTTTATAGTCACATGTGATTACGTATATAATCACATGTGATTGCAACTCATGCGGAACATGGGGTTCTCCCAGTTAAAGTGTAATTTGTATATGCGTATATTACAAATGATATCACATGTGATGTTTTTACGATATTTTATTTGATACATATAATCATTATTTTTTAATTATAAACCATACAATGATAATATGTTATATTTTCTAATCACATGTTTATATTAATCTTTATATGTTTATCACATATTATAGTACTTTTGTTTTTTATTATAGTCATATGTTATGGAGTATTCATATATGATTGATGTATAATCATACATTGTCCTTATAAATGCAATTTATCATATGTGAATTTAAACACAAAAACTGTTTATAATCACATGTGATTACGTATATAATCATATGTGATTGCAACTCATGCGGAACATGGGCTTCTCCCAGTTAAAGTGTAATTTGCATATATGTGTATATTACAAATGATAATCACATGTGATTAATTAAAAATTGTTTATAATCACATGTGATTAGGTATATAATCACATGTGATTATTTAAAATAAAACATTGATTAAACTTTAATTTTTAGTTAAACAAAAAAATAGAGATTGTTTTCTAAGGTTAAACGACTTATTTATTAAGCTTAATATCTTAATTATTATATGAAACATATAATTCATATCCATGATATCATATATATGGTGAAACATTTTTATAATTAAAACCTAATCATTGTATTTAATAAATTAGCACACATTCATCTAATGAAAAAGTAAATATTGTCTAAGCAAACCATCAATCAAATTATACATTCACAGACTTCACCATTTTTGATCTTAAACTTCACATGAAACTTCTTCCCACAATAACATTGTTCTCTCAATCTTTAACATTGTCATTATCTTAATTATCTTCAGCATTATCATCATCTTGATCATCTTCATCACCATCATCATCATCATAATCATCATCATCATCATCATCATCATTATCATCATTATTTCTGTTGTTTTCTTGAGCAATTTGATCTTCATCATTAAAATATTCATCGATCATACTTTTCAAAGGATTCAATCTTACACTTGATGGGAAGTTATTCATTCCATTTTCAATCAACAAATTGATCTTCCTAATCTTCATCAAAATCATTTGTTCATAGTCCTAAATCAGAATTAATTTGAAGTTTATATTAGCAATATATATCATTAAACATTATAAATATTAAATAATGAGAAGTTTTTTTTTTGTATAACTGCTATAAATACATTACCTCCTGATTAATATCTTCTTCAACAAAATCTTCATTTAAATCTCCTGTACCAAATTGCTTCAGGATTTCTTTTTCATCGATTTCTCTAAGCTTCATTTTTTCTTATGTCCAGTGACAGATAACTGGTCGTTTTCTTTCAGCAATAAATACACTGCAATGGACTCTATCTACATAAAGCAACTGGAAAAAAAGAAATATTTGTTATTATAATCACATGTGATTAAAATATTATGTCTTTATGATCATATGTGATTTAAAACATTTTACTGTTAAACCACATGTGATTATAAATGTTATTAAATAATAGAGAAGTTATTAAGCATACCACTAAAAAAACAGATGGTCCAACAAAATTGCTTGTTGGATTGGATGAATCAAAAGATCGTTTTGTTTTAACCAAACAATTAAGCAAGTAGGAGCACATTCAATGTTGCTTATGTTTGTATTTTTCATGATGTAGTTTAAGGGATATGTGTTTGCTTTTCCGCATGAGTTTGATTCTATAAGAGAGTTGATCAACAAAGCAATGAAGTTCATCTGGAAGTTCATATCTGATTTGTCCGAGCCGACAATATTCATTTTAATCTCATGCAATCTGATCATTTTTTTGTTTTCAAATTGTTCAGCCTATTCATCATAACATTTATCATTTTCTTTTCGAAATGGAAGTTTTGAAAACTGTTTTTTTTTTTCAAAGGAAATCCTAGCATTTGATTCACTGATTCTTTTGTGACATCGATCTCAACCCCCTCTCGAAGAACAATTTTCATTTTTGTTGGATCAAATTTATCAACAACATAACGGCTTAATGCCCCTGGCACTTCAGTCATTTTCATTTTCAATAGATCACCAAATCCTATTTGTTTCACACAATCTTTTTGGATTGTATTGAAACCTTGAATGATTGATAACAACGCTCCAGGTGAGCACCTATATTATCAATAATAACAATTAATGAATTTAATTATATTTGATTTAAAACAAATTAATCAAAGAGTTTTTAAATCATATATGATTTTATTCATATATAAGTGAAATCATATGTGATTGATTAATCCGATATATGATTATTCCTGTATTTGTTATGTTTATCTGTATAATCATATGTGATTCATTTCAAATAGTTGTTCTTTAAATAATCATACTATTATTAACAAAGCTATACATGTTTCTGATTGTATCGAAATGCTTATTTACAGTCTTCATCTTTCTTTTTTTAGTCTTTTTTGTTTCAGAAACTGAATCTTCAGCTTTTCTTTTCTTTTTTGATTTGTTTTTCTTCTCTGGTCCTATAAAAGATGTTAATGAAGTCATAATAAGTAAATAAAAAATGATTATACAAAGGTTAATAAATAAGCATATATTTTTCAATATCTATTTTAATCACATGTAATTGAAGGAATATTGTTTTTAAATCATGTGTATAAGTTATAGATATAAATCACATATGATTGAAACATCCATGTCAGCTGAAAAATGTATATTTTCAATCACAAATGATTATATATATTAATATATATCAATAATCCAAAATGATTCATAAAAGACATATGATACTCACTTGTGATTGGATCTGTATGTTTGTATTAGAGATTCTAATCACATATGATTAAACAATATTTAAGGATTGTACATTATATGTGTACATATAATGTACAATCAAACATATGTGATTAACAATAGACTGTTTGTTTTCTTTTTTTCGTTTTATAATCATTTGTGATTGAAATATACCTTTTTCAACTATGAGTCTTGGTGATTTTCTTGTTGTTTTGCTTTATGTAGGTTTTTTCTGCGTGGGCTTTTCTTTGTTTTTTTCTGGAAAAAAAAGTACACATATAATTAGAAAATCATATTTGATTATATACATAAAATATATGAATCAGAACTGATTATGTTGAGTAATATTGATTATAATCACATGTGATTGAGTTATACATTTTCCTTGTTTTTGTTTAGACGTCTTTTCTGTTGTTTCTTCTTCAATGATTGTTTTTCCTTTTCCCTTAGATTTTTCTGAGACATATAAATATAAAAAAATGATATCATTATAAAACGTACATTGTTATTTGATAGATGTTAAGCACAAGTGATTGAAAACATTTTGTACATTTTAGAAAACCAAAAAGTCAATTTTTAATCACATGTGATTAAATATCTTTTGTGTATATATAATGTTCACAAAAAAAAAATTACATGTTCTTAAATATCTTTTGTGTACATATAATGTACAATCAAACATACGTGATTAATAACAGACTGTTTGTTTTTTTTTCGTTTTATAATCATTTGTGATTGAAATATACCTTTTTCAACTATATTTCTTGGTGATTTTCTTGTTGTTTTGCTTTCCGGAGGTTTTTTCTGTGTGGGCTTGTCTTTTGGCTGTTGCTTTTGTAAGTTTTTGAGTACTCTTTTCTTTATCTAGTTGGCTGCTCTTTATTGGTTTCTGAGATGTACAAATATATGTATTATAAGAAAATCATATATGATTATTTCAAGTCATGACAAATATATAATATACCGCTTATATAGATTGTGATCACATGTGATTCAATCTTTGTGCTATGTATAAATGTAATCACATGTGATTCAATCATTTTGGAGATTATAACATCAACAAATCATATATGATTGCAAATGCTCATTATAAGTAAGAATTCATCAGCAAATCATATGTGATTGAACACAGTCATATGATTTATCACCTTTATGCATGTTTTTTGAAAAAAAATTCTTTTTGTTTTAATCATAAATGAGTATAAAATGGAAAACTCAACACTAAATCGAGAAATTAAACGTTAATATTAGTAAAGTTGAGTTTTATTTTAACAGTAAACTTAGGTAAATTGTTCGACATCGAAACTAGGTTTTGATTTTAAAAAAACTTTTGAGTAATGTCGATTTCCTTTACATTGATGAAACTAATAGTAGGAAAACTCGAAAATCGAGTAATATTCATAAAAAAAACTCGATAATAATGAGAATCAAGTGATATTTACCTTTCGATGAAACCTTCGACGGCGTTTTTTCTGTTTTTGACGACTTTTGTATCGTCTTCGTTGAAATTTTTTTGAAAATGGTTGAGATGTTAGAGAGAAGCGAGGGTTTCTTTTGAGAGAAATGAGGGTTTTTGATTGCTTCGAGGATTCTGACGACGTATGTTTGGAACAAGCTATACCCCCTTATTGGTGAAATGCGATATGTTTTTGGAGCAATTAACTTATTTACATTTAAGCCACCGTATCGGACACAATTTTTATAGAGATGGACAGCCCAACAATATAACTGGACAGCCCATACAATATAACTTTTGTTTCAAATGTTCTCGCGAACGCTCCTCTATATATATCTATATATATATATATATATATATATATATATATATATATATATATATCATAGATATATAGAAGAGAGGAGAAACTTTAGGGGAAAACATAACGTGACTACTGTTTCATTGGAGTAAAATCCAATAAGAAATGTTCTGCTCTGCTGGTGTTTGCAAAATCAAGGCCATAATCAATTTTGAATTCATTACTATCATATCCTTCCGCCAAGACCCACATATTATATTAATATTATTCAACACAATGTGCAGGATGCATGTGAGTGTGACCGCATTTACATCAAAAGTTTAAACTGCAAACAGCAACTCGCCCTATTAAAATTAATTAATTAAATCACACCAAACTTCAAACGTACCCTTTCTCCCTTGACCAAAACTAATTAATTGAATTAGCAATCATCAAACTAAATTACTCTTTCAACACTCGAGTTAGATTTTTAATAAGATTTATCACCGCAACGTCCACCTCCTAAGATCAGTGGTTGAACAAGGAGACACCTCGCCACCTGCGATGCTCTCAGTATAATACGATGAATAATTGGACTGCTGTTCATTCCCCATCCCCATGTATGCATATGATGCTTGATTGACGCTGGTAAAGCTTGGACTCCTCAAATCCTGTCCATTTCCACCACCATACGGGTCTGGAACCGGGAACGAGAGCCGTTTCTTGGCTGATCCGGATCTGTCCCTCTCGGGAGTCGAAGGCCTTTGTCTGGGTGCACTCTGAGACCTTACCCTAGCCTTGGCTGACTCGGTTGCAGCCATGTAATTGGGCATTGGACCTCCTCCTCCTCCACTTGTCGAACCCCTTGCATGTTGCTGCTGATGATGCAACATGACCGTGTTGAAACTATAGTTAGACCTTAAGCTTGGTGTTTGGCTTTGAGTGCTGTGATAGCTTCTGTCTTCTCTAACATAATGAGGGCTTGCAGAACGGACTTGTATTGGCCTTGTTTTGGATGGGGAAGGTGTTACTGTTACTGCTGGGGACTGATGGTGTTGGCCTCTATGGAGAGGAGAAGCAGAAGAGGGGGAATTTCGTTGGTTATGGTGGTGGTGATATTGATAACTAGATCTTCTCATATGGTTAGGAGGGGGTAAGCTTGAGTAAGGCTGAGAGGTGTCCACTTGAACAGTTTTAACACCATCTCTGTGATCAGTTGAAGCTCTTCCCATGGGCCTGCTGCTATCCCATGCTTTTGGACCCAGCCATTGCTGCCTCTCTCCAACGCCAACCTCATTATCACTGCCCATTGATGAATTCCTACCATTTCTTCTCATCTTTTAATCACAAAACAATCACGCATATCAATTACAATTCTTTGATTTTAATACAACCAAAACAGCAGTTACTACTAAAATACCAAAATGGGATCGGAGGTGTCCTATCAGGAAATCACCACATTTTGTAAAAGTAACAAGAATTAAACATTTATTTTGCAAAATGGACTTTGCCAAATTGCTTTGATGACCTTTCCAGCAAATCTTGAATACTTTTCTAAATTTGTAAAATTATTGTTATTTGGCAAATCAGTTGCACAAAACAACAAATGAAAAAGACAAAAATAGTAGGGAGTAGGCATCGTAGTCATACAGTAAATTTGAAAAACCAAAGGTATTATTTCATAAAACTCATTTTACAAAATGGATTGTTATTTTGTTACAGTTTTCCAAAACGTGGATATTTTGTGATATGACCAGTCATTTTAGTGATTACCATGTATGAAGACAAACCTCTTGAGAGAAGGCTTGCGACAAAGTCTTGTCGCGTCTAGCAGCTCTATTTTGAAGCATTGCTTTCACTTCCTCAATACTGTGTGGCCGTTCATCCCAGTCATCAGCAATGCTACTTCCATCTCGAGACTAAAAGTTACCAAACTAAGCTTTTTGAAACATATCAAGGCAAAATGTAACTATGTACATACATACATATATACATGTGTGTGAGTGTATTCATAAGCACACACCAACAGAAACACACACACATACATGTATCTTTGCATGGTTATATATATATATATATATATATATATATATATTATATATATATATATATATATATATATATAGGGTAAATGAGGCACATACCATTGATCTCCTGTCAGACATATCTTGATGATAACGAGAGCCCCAGACACTGTTGGTGTCGCTAAATGTAGATTTTCGACTGGTGCATTGGTCAGATTGCTTCATGCGCTGATCAAGAACACGAGCCTGCACTCTAACCAAAGCTTGCATGCATTGAAGTGTCATTTTGGCTTGCTTTCTCACATTGTGACCCCTCACTAATGCTTGCAATTTTACCAGTCCTTTGAGTGCACGAAGAGCTCTCCTGGCCTACGAAGCAAACACTGTTAGCTAGGTTTTCGAACAACAAACACTTAATTAAAGATTCGAAGAAAAATAAATAACACACAATATTAGGGTAACTTTGCTACATCCACAGGCGAATTAAAGAAGCTTATTGATTTCAAAATAATATTTACTATAACATCGAGATTCTATATATAGAGCTAGGAATTTTGATTTTGATTATAAAACTGCCAAGTATTACACATCTACCACAAGTAGAAGAAATGGTCACTTTATTATGGTAGAAGAAATGATTTTGATTATAACATCCATGTTTGAAGCCAAAATGCAAACTTTTGCAGTATTGGTCACTTTATTATGGTAGAAGAAATGGGCTTCCTTATAGAAAGCATGGTATATATAGCAGGGAAAGCATTTAATTTCCTACAGGATAGATTACGGGTATCCAGAATAGAATATGTTGAGTGGGTGCATGTGCCCTTGTTGCATTCACAGGCATGTTCCCATGTGCTTCATCCTCGTAAAATATTAAGGTTCTGTTTTGGTATAACGTAATCCGGTAAAATGTATTCAGCTATTTACTTTTACTCAATGTTGAAAAACTAATTAAAAAAGATAGTCCGGCATATTAAACAACTAATTTTTACAAGATTAGCCTCATTTAGTTTCAACCTTTCCATTTCTCGAAGTTTCAAATAAGCGGAGCAAACTACAAAGAAAGAGGGTTTTCTTATGTTTGAAAATCAACTTTGACCAAAACGCTTTGGTTTTTGGACTCCCACGTCATTTCCAAATGATCCATTGGTTTTTTTAGCAACCTCAAATAAAGTGATCATTTCTTTTTATTTTGTCATCCGTAAATATTTTTATTTTCACACTGATTGTAGTTCATTTACTTTTGAAAAGACAAAAATTTTGATTGTAAATGTTTGATATTCTGGATACAAAAATTAAAATCAGTAATAGCCACAGGAAAATACCGTCGTCATATGAGTTTAATATGTGGTCAGTGAATGAATGTAGGACCCTAGAATTAACAGCATAAGCTAGCTAATTAATTAAGATGGTTAGATGATAGATCTTTGTTTTGACACTAACCAGATAACCCCTGAATGCCGTCTGAATGATGGTAGCGGCATAGTGCTCCCTTGAATGACCAGCCGGCGGCCTACTGATCGAAGCCACCTCCATTGCCGCCGGAGCCGTGGATACCGCTGCAATGGCATGCTTTTGTTCCGACGCCCCAGAGTCTGTACAAGTGGCATCGCTAGCCACTCGGCCGCCGCTCAAATTACTCATCTTGGCTTGCTGGGTTGCTTGTACTGTTGCATTTTCATGGACGCTGGTGGGCTTCCGGAATAGCCATCTTCTCTTTTCCCTTTTCTGAATTTATGGAGAAATCCATTTAATTAGTACAAGAGCAGGACATGAATGATGAAAGGGAAAAAAGGAACCTTGTCGTCTTCCTCGTCAAGATCTTGAGCTTGAGTATCATGATTTCTTCTTTGAGTCTTTTTATCGGAATCTTTGCTAGGAGATCGGAAAGCCCTTTTAACAGCGGTGAGCCATGAGGATCCACTTTTCTTCCCCATAGATGTTAGAAATAACAATAATAACAACAACAAAGAAGTTGCATTTACAACAGAAGAGAAAAGGGGAGCGGCTAAAAGGGGCAGTGCTCAGAAAGAAAAGAAGAGATCTGGAGAGAAAGGATAGTAAGGCCTGGTTCACCTAACAAGCAAAGCACTTTTATCTGTAAAGGAAAGAGATGCATAAATATATGAGAGAAGGATAGTGTGTCAGTCATGTGTAATGGAAAATGGTGGTGGGGTTGACAGGGAGAGTTATAATGGTCAATAGTTTTCTTCCGGCAATAAAATAAAAAGGATAATCTATATATATATATATATATATATATATATATATATATATATATATATATATATATAAAAGATAAATGACATTATAGTCCAACTATCTTACATTATGGTTTAAATGGTCCTTTTTTTTGTTCTTTTATTGCATTTGAGAGGAACGAAATATTACTTTGCCGGATAAAGTGGTCCACCTAACTGTTTTAACAGGTAAACCATACACGTCATTATATTAGTCAGCAAGTGAGCCTACTTTGATTCAACTCTGAGTTAACTCGTGTACATGTCACTGAGTTTGACCGGTTCTTTGCTTGGGGCCTAAGGGTCACTGTGGACCCATCAATCAATAAAAGGGATGGCTTATTCGATGAAACCCTAAATCTTCAAGCCCCTTTTCCACTAAAGGATACCGTCAATCCGACATAACCTCGCTTTCACGTGAATCACGATGGCGACCCCACCACCACATTCACCGAATTCAATATCTATAAATTCAAGAGATCGTCTCAACTTCGACGATTTGCATACTATTTATTGTGATTGTGGAGCAAAAATTGCAGAACAAAAAATGGAAGTCGCCCATCTGAAAGAAGAAATGGGTCGAGATTTGGTGTTAAGCAGGGTTGAGTCACTCGCATTGCATCGTCGGATTGAGCGCATAAAGAAAAAGTTGACTTCGTTGACTGTATTGGTGATCGGACCGGTGATTGTGAGTTTTTGTTTTATGGTGGAGAAGATTCTTCGCATCGTGAACAAGTGATATGTTGCTGTTTAGAAGAAGTTATATGTTGGTGGTCGTGGTGTTTGTATTGATTAGTTATATGTAACGACCGTCATTTGAGGTATTGATTATTAAATATTTCTTAAATTATTGTTGGGCTAAATATGGATAAAAAGGACTATTGGAGTGGACTTAAGCAAGTGGGCCAAGGATTTGGGCCGCCCATAAGACGTACGTTGGGCGTAGCCTTGGTGTACGCGGGGCGTAGAGGCGCATTGATGTGGGGGACGCATGCACGTACGCGTAGCGTACGTGAGCAGATTCCAAAACCCTAATTTTTAGGGTTTAAGACATATAAATACCCAATTATAGCTTAACCCTGGCCTCCTTACCAGCCCCTCACCCTCAGAAACCCTAAATACCCTCTCTTACTCCATTTTTGTGTGTTTTGGCATTTTGAAGCTTTGTTTGGCGAAGAAGAGCTTGGAAGAAGAGAAGAGAAGTTTGAGAAGAAGAACTTGAGTATCTTGAGCTCAAGGATCTGGGATTATCTCATCTTTTGGCACTTAAAGGAGGTATAACGCTTCCAACTTTCCTTATAGAAGCTTAGATCTAGGTTTATGGAGCTTTAGATCTTTTTAGGTCCAAAGGATGGATTTTTATGATGCAACTTCGTTTTTAAGCTTGGGGTTGCCACCCTCAGAGCTAAATGCTTTCCTTTAGCAATAAAGTTTCAATCTTTAAGGTCCATTTGTGACCATGCATGAGATCTAGCCATTTCCATGGAAATATGTTGTTATTTTCCAAGTTTGGGTTCATTTGGTGGGTTGCAAGCCACCAAGTAATCGACTTTATGGATTAAGACGTTGAAGAGGACTTGGATCTGTAGTTATAGCCTCTGGAGTTGAGTATTAAGTGAAGAGAGAAGATGGCTATTCCGGAAGCCCACCAGCGTCCATGAAAATGCAACAGTACAAGCGATAATGATGGGAGAAGTGAATGATGAAAGGGAAAAAAGGAACCTTGTCGTCTTCCTCGTCAAGATCTTGAGCTTGAGTATCATGATTTCTTCTTTGAGTCTTTTTATCGGAATCTTTGCTAGGAGATCGGAAAGCCCTTTTAACAGCGGTGAGCCATGAGGATCCACTTTTCTTCCCCATAGATGTTAGAAATAACAATAATAACAACAACAAAGAAGTTGCATTTACAACAGAAGAGAAAAGGGGAGCGGCTAAAAGGGGCAGTGCTCAGAAAGAAAAGAAGAGATCTGGAGAGAAAGGATAGTAAGGCCTGGTTCACCTAACAAGCAAAGCACTTTTATCTGTAAAGGAAAGAGATGCATAAATATATGAGAGAAGGATAGTGTGTCAGTCATATGTAATGGAAAATGGTGGTGGGGTTGACAGGGAGAGTTATAATGGTCAATAGTTTTCTTCCAGCAATAAAATAAAAAGGATAATCACTTCAAAGTATATATATATATATATATATATATATAAAAGATAAATGACACTATAGTCCAACTATCTTACATTATGGTTTAAATGATCCTTTTTTTTTGTTCTTTTTTTGCATTTGAGAGGAACGAAATATTACTTTGCCGGATAAAGTGGTCCACCTACCTGTTTTAACAGGTAAACCATACACGTCATTATATTAGTCAGCAAGTGAGCCTACTTTGATTCAACTCTGAGTTAACTCCTGTACATGTCACTGAGTTTGACCGGTTCTTTGCTTGGGGCCTAAGGGTCACTGTGGACCCATCAATCAATAAAAGGGATGGCTTATTCGATGAAACCCTAAATCTTCAAGCCCCTTTTCCACTAAAGGATACCGTCAATCCGACATAACCTCGCTTTCACGTGAATCACGATGGCGACCCCACCACCACATTCACCGGATTCAATATCTATAAATTCAAGAGATCGTCTCAACTTCGACGATTTGCATACTATTTATTGTGATTGTGGAGCAAAAATTGCAGAACAGAAAATGGAAGTCGCCCATCTGAAAGAAGAAATGGGTCGAGATTTGGTGTTAAGCAGGGTTGAGTCACTCGCATTGCATCGTCGGATTGAGCGCATAAAGAAAAAGTTGACTTCGTTGACTGTATTGGTGATCGGACCGGTGATTGTGAGTTTTTGTTTTATGGTGGAGAAGATTCTTCGCATCGTGAACAAGTGATATGTTGCTGTTTAGAAGAAGTTATATGTTGGTGGTCGTGGTGTTTGTATTGATTAGTTATATGTAACGACCGTCATTTGAGGTATTGATTATTAAATATTTCTTAAATTATTGTTGGGCTAAATATGGATAAAAAGGACTATTGGAGTGGACTTAAGCAAGTGGGCCAAGGATTTGGGCCGCCCATAAGACGTACGTTGGGCGTAGCCTTGGTGTACGCGGGGCGTAGAGGCGCATTGGATGTGGGGGACGCACGCACGTACGCGTAGCGTACGTGAGCAGATTCCAAAACCCTAATTTTTAGGGTTTAAGACATATAAATACCCAATTATAGCTTAACCCTGGCCTCCTTACCAGCCCCTCACCCTCAGAAACCCTAAATACCCTCTCTTACTCCATTTTTGTGTGTGTTTGGCATTTTGAAGCTTTGTTTGGCGAAGAAGAGCTTGGAAGAAGAGAAGAGAAGTTTGAGAAGAAGAACTTGAGTATCTTGAGCTCAAGGATCTGGGATTATCTCATCTTTTGGCACTTAAAGGAGGTATAACGCTTCCAACTTTCCTTATAGAAGCTTAGATCTAGGTTTATGGAGCTTTAGACCTTTTTAGGTCCAAAGGATGGATTTTTATGATGCAACTTCGTTTTTAAGCTTGGGGTTGCCACCCTCAGAGCTAAATGCTTTCCTTTAGCAATAAAGTTTCAATCTTTAAGGTCCATTTGTGACCATGCATGAGATCTAGCCATTTCCATGGAAATATGTTGTTATTTTCCAAGTTTGGGTTCATTTGGTGGGTTGCAAGCCACCAAGTAATCGACTTTATGGATTAAGACGTTGAAGAGGACTTGGATCTGTAGTTATAGCCTCTGGAGTTGAGTATTAAGTGAAGAGAGAAGATGGCTATTCCGGAAGCCCACCAGCGTCCATGAAAATGCAACAGTACAAGCGATAATGATGGGAGAAGTGAATGATGAAAGGGAAAAAAGGAACCTTGTCGTCTTCCTCGTCAAGATCTTGAGCTTGAGTATCATGATTTCTTCTTTGAGTCTTTTTATCGGAATCTTTGCTAGGAGATCGGAAAGCCCTTTTAACAGCGGTGAGCCATGAGGATCCACTTTTCTTCCCCATAGATGTTAGAAATAACAATAATAACAACAACAAAGAAGTTGCATTTACAACAAAAGAGAAAAGGGGAGCGGCTAAAAGGGGCAGTGCTCAGAAAGAAAAGAAGAGATCTGGAGAGAAAGGATAGTAAGGCCTGGTTCACCTAACAAGCAAAGCACTTTTATCTGTAAAGGAAAGAGATGCATAAATATATGAGAGAAGGATAGTGTGTCACTCATGTGTAATGGAAAATGGTGGTGGGGTTGACAGGGAGAGTTATAATGGTCAATAGTTTTCTTCGAGCAATAAAATAAAAAGGATAATCACTTCAAAGTATATATATATATATATATATATATATATATATATATATATATATATATAAAAGATAAATGACACTATAGTCCAACTATCTTACATTATGGTTTAAATGGTCCTTTTTTTTTGTTCTTTTTTTGCATTTGAGAGGAACGAAATATTACTTTGCCGGATAAAGTGGTCCACCTACCTGTTTTAACAGGTAAACCATACACGTCATTATATTAGTCAGCAAGTGAGCCTACTTTGATTCAACTCTGAGTTAACTCGTGTACATGTCACTGAGTTTGACCGGTTCTTTGCTTAGGGCCTAAGGGTCACTGTGGACCCATCAATCAATAAAAGGGATGGCTTATTCGATGAAACCCTAAATCTTCAAGCCCCTTTTCCACTAAAGGATACCGTCAATCCGACATAACCTCGCTTTCACGTGAATCACGATGGCGACCCCACCACCACATTCACCGGATTCAATATCTATAAATTCAAGAGATCGTCTCAACTTCGACGATTTGCATACTATTTATTGTGATTGTGGAGCAAAAATTGCAGAACAGAAAATGGAAGTCGCCCATCTGAAAGAAGAAATGGGTCGAGATTTGGTGTTAAGCAGGGTTGAGTCACTCGCATTGCAT